ATCTCAGCTCAATGCAACATTTGCCTCCTGGGTACAAGCAATTCTCCTGCCTCAGCCTTCTGAGTAGAAGGAATTACAGGCACCACCACCACACCCGGCTAATTTTTGTGTTTTTTGTAGAGATGGGGTTTCACCATGTTGGCCAGACTGGTTCAAACTCCTGACCTCAGGTAATCAGTCTGCCTCCACGCCTGGCCCTAAATATTATCTCTTGACTTTCTAATATGGTAAGGCAGAATATTGTTTTTTTTTTTTTTGAGACAGGGTCTCACTCTGTTAATCATGTTGGAGTACAGTGGTGTGGTCTGGGCTCACTGCAACCTCTACCTCCCAGTCTCAAGCAATTTTCCCTCCTCAGCCTCTCAAGTAGCTGGGACCACAGGCAAACACCACCATGCCTGGCTAATTTTTGTATTTTTGGTAGAGATGGGGTTTCACCATGTTGCCCAGGCTGGTCTTGAACTTCTGAGCTCACGCAACCCACCTGTCTTAGCCTCCCTAAATGCTGGGATTACAAGCATGAGTTACTGTGGCCAGCCAGACATTGCTTTTTTTTTTTTTTTTAAGTTTAGTATATAATAAAAAACTTCAAATGCATATACATGAAGTGAACAGAAGAGTGTAATAAACACCCATTTATTGTTTTGGTATGGTAAAGAGTAAAGGTATTACAAAAACAACACACAAAAGCAAACAAAAAAACCCCTGTACCCATCACCCAGCTTCAATCATTACACCTTTCTTGTTTCATCTCCACCTCTACATACTTATCCCTTGAGAGTTACTTTTAGTTCTTTTATTTTTAATTTTTATTTTTTGAGACAGAGGCTTGCTCTGTTGCCCAGGCCAGAGTGCAGTGGCGCTATCTCAGCTCACTGAAACCTCTGCCTCCCGGGTTCAAGTGATTCTCCTATCTCAGCCTCCCGAGTAGCTGGGATTATAGGCGCTCACCACCATGCTAGGCTAATTTTTTGTATTTTTGGTAGAGATGGGGTTTCATCATGTTGCCCAGGCTGGTCTCAAACTCCTGAGCTCAGGAGATTCACCCACCTTGGCTTCCCCCAGTGCTGGGATTACAGGCGTGAGTTACTGTACCCGGCTATATATTGCCTTTTTTAAAAAGTTTATTTTGTAAGAGAAAACTTCAAATGCATATACACAAAGTGAGCAGAAGAGCGTAATAAACACCCATTTACTATTTTGCTGTGATAAAGAAAACCCAAATAAAAACAAAACAAACACACAAAACAAACCCCCAGGTACCCATCACCCAGCTTCAATTATGCCTTTCTTGTTGTATCTCCACCTCTACATGCTCATCACTTGAGAATTAATTTTAGTTCTTTTATTTAATTTTATTCTTTGAGACAGAGTCTCGCTCTATCGCCCAGGCTGGAGTGCAGAGGCGCGATCTCGGCTCGCTGCAACCTCCACCTCCTGAATTCAAGTGATTCTCCTGCCTCAGCCTCCTGAGTAGCTGGGACCATGGGCATGTTCCACCACATCTGGCTAATTTTTTGTATTTTTAGACTTCAAGTGATCCGCCCACTCTGGCCTCCCAAAGTGCTGCGATTACAGGCACAAGCCACTGTGCTCAGCCACAGGTTAAACTTCTGATTGCCTTTATTTACTGATTCATTACTGGTATTTTGGAAATCATTTGCCTTTTCTGTTGTTTAAATTTTTGTTACAATGTGCAATTATCTTGCTTTTACCACTTTAAGAATAGCAACATTTACTCCTTAAAATAATAATCTTAAAATTCTCTTTACTTTTTAAAATAAGTAAATTTATTTATGAGACGGAGTTTAGCTCCTGTTGCCCAGGCTGGAGTGCAATGGTGCAATCTTGGATCTTAAACTCCTGACCATTAAAAAGGGAGAACGGGCTGGGAGCAATGGCTCACACCTGTAATCTTAGCACTTTGGGAGGCTGAGGCAGGTGCATCACCTGAGGTTGGGAGTTTGAGACCAGCCTGACCAACATGGAGAAACCCCATCTCTACTAAAAATACAAAATTAGCCAGGTATGGTGGCTCATACTTGTAACCCCAGCCACTTGGGAGGCTGAGGCAGGAGAATTGTTTGAACCTGGAGGTGGAGGTTGCAGTGAGCCAAGATCTCTCCATTGCACTCCAGCCTGGACAACGAGAGCAAAACTCTGTCTCCAAAAAATAAAAAAGGGAGAATTGACATTGCAAAGTCTAAAATGGTGGGAGAAACATCTGCCAAGCCTAGAAGGGTGCATGTAAGATGTTCTGAGGAGCTTACTGGAAGATCTGCATACTTATTTG